AATTCATGTTTCAAACTTAGTGCAATATGTTAAAAAAACAACAAAGTTTCCGGAAAACGTCTAACTTTTTAATTAGATTTCTTAGAAAGATTTTGAGTATGCAGTTTTGTAGCCCACTGCATTCTAGTAGAATAAGGTGGTGGATATTTCAAATGGTTAAAATAGAGGGTTTTTTGTCCTATTTGCTTCCATAAATCGAATAACCACGATTTATTTTTATATGGAAAAAAAAAAACCGTAACATCTTCGTCATTCTGCACTTGGGCCTTCCATTGTCTTTGTGGGCTACATTTTTTAAGTTGTCCATCCATGGATGCCAAGTCGAAAAATCTTTTCAGCATTGTCCATTCGTACATCATGTTATTCGTTGTTGTCGTTGTCGTTGTAACAGCATTAAAAATTACCCAAAGAGTTTTTGGGAAGTGACAGTCCTAGGCCAGATATAAATCTGAGTCATTCCGGTTACGTAAACCCGACTATCGTGGGAACGAAGGAACCATTCCGCCCTTGTTGGTTTTTGTAACGGCACTAATACGCACCCTCCCAGTCGGGTAGGCATCTTTGTTCGACATCGTTTAAGTTTCTGCGCCATATAAAGACGGGCGTGATGTGAGGTTTGTTTTATTCTGCTCAGGTATGAGTTTAGCTTGCTGCAATAGCCAGAGCCAGAGCTGGGTCGTAATGATTCCTTTAGGAATTAAATTACTCCCAATTACAGATTACAAGGAAATGTAATTAGGAATCAATTCCTTCAGNGAGCGAAGTTGGGCTATTGTGGTGCGGGTCTCCCGAAGCAGACAAAGTTCTGTCCCGTCCACGTCAAGTGGTTGTGTGTACAGAAAGGTATTCACATGTCGAGAGTCTACATAATTCGAGAGACTTCCTGTCTGTACGCAGTTGAGTCCAGATGTTGTTTGATGAACCTCTGGACTTCGTCCGTCAGTTCGTAGAGGTGCCGCCTGACGTGCTTTGGTGAGGGCTCTTCTGCAAGTAGTTGTCTATTCGGATAACCACATCTGTGGCACAGTGCATTGTGTTATGCTCCATGATGGGGACCATCTGGGCCGCGTAGTGTAGGTGGTGTTGGGGCGACATCAGGAGGCATCCGGTCGCTGTCCGAAGTGCCGTGTTCTGGGAGCTCTGTAGCTTCGTCCACTGCGTCCTGCCGGTTCCCGGCGACCACACGGGCGCTGCGTAATTTAGAACCGGCCGGCCAACTGCCTTGTATGTTTCCAGCAACGTTTCTTTGCCTTTGCCCCAGGTGCTGCCGGCCGACTTGAGGACCTTGAGCGGCTCTGAAATCTGTTGACAATTGCGGTTGTATGCGCCGAGATGGAGAGCAGACTGTCGAAGGTGACTCTCAGGATTTTTGGGTTATTCACCATCGATATTGGTTCAACATCGACGTGAATACCCAGTTGCAGTCTGACTTCCTTCATCCAGGTGGTGAATAAGGTTGCAGAGGATTTTTTAGGGGAGGGTTAGGCTGCTTGCAGTGAAGCGAGAAAGCTCGGCGAAATAACCGTTAACCTTGGGTCACAAGTCATCAATTCCATTCCCAGACGCCATTATCGAGCAATCGTCAGCATAGGGATCAATAGTGACTCCCTCTGGTGGTTGAGGGAGCTTCGAACTATAATAATTTAACAAGAGTGGTGGAACCTCTATTTAATTTTTCTTGGTTTGCTTTTTTTGTCTCTGCTTTTCAATAGCCTACCGAACTTAAAGTAGCACCTGTTGGCAAGAGTTATTCTTCGCTTTATCTCCATACTGACATTATTGGTGTTTACGATAGATTCTAGGTAGAAAAAGTCCTTCGTTACTTCAAAGTTATATCTGCTAACCGTGGTATGTGTCCAAACACGCCCAGAGTTATTATATGTACGTTGTCAGGGATACTTTGTCTTGTACTCGTTAACCGCAACACCGATCTCTTTCTTTTAGTTTTCAAGCTGAAAAATGTTACGCTGATGTCCCTGATATAAATCTGCATACTCAAGCAGCATAGTTATTTTGCTGTATATGGTGCCGCGACGCGAAAATATCAGCTCTTATTACGCTTTCCTGCACCACAATGGCGCAACTTGGCTCTGGCATCTGTAGCAGGCTAAACTCGTACCTGAGCAAGTGAACGCAGATGTGCCCAATGAGTGCCCGACATGCGGAGAGTCGCCCCCACCCAACTAACGCCCCTGTCCCTATGAACAGAACCGGTGGAAATTGCACACTTCCTAGGCCTCCCTTGAGATGAGCCTGAGGACAACAACAACGTTTTCCGTCCCAATTTGAACGAAGCTGAAAGTTGTGCTCAACGTTGTTGTCGATTTGTATACCTAGTGTCCTCTCCAGGATTTGACATGCGGTATGACGTTGCAAGTCAGGGCCTATCTTCTAATCAAATTTCCTCTACTTGGCATAGAGCTGATAATTTCAGACTATCAGTGACCACGAATGCAATGCACATATGTATTTAGTTAAGATTTTGATAGCTAGAAGGTTCATGCACTTAATTATATGAGGAGTTTTGATTACATACATGACTCACTTACCAATTAAAATCGATAGGTGTGTATGAGAGCGAATTACTGGGAATTTCACCTGTATTATACCTATATTATTCATTGGCATACAATGAGTTCATTTATAAACATTATCATGTGGCTTTCTAAGGGGCTAAAAATACCCAAACGTAAATACTCAAGTGGTGTCTTAATTTATGGTGACGCCAAGTAAAATCTAAACAATTTTGATTTTAATATCAAGATGTTAAATAGCATTTTTATGAATAGGCGAAACAATTTTTAAAATAAGATTTCAGTTTGTAGGTTAAATGGCATACAAAATTGTGTACAAACAAATCATGTTTCCAAATGATTTTAAACCTTAAAGCAAGCATGCCTATGTACATGGTCGTATGTATGTACATATGTATGTATGTACGTATGAGTATGCAATCCCTGCATTATTGAACAATAGCTAACGGCTGCTGCTCTTGAATCCACTTCTGTGTTTATTGTTGCGCACCAAGTGATATCGTTTTGTTTGTACGGCTTGGGCAACACCACTCCGTGGACACACAAGTAATCACACACACGTGTCCAATGCGTATTTGTATGTATGTATCTGGAATCTCTTCAGCATTCCGTGGGCAACATCTTGACATTTTGTCGGTCATCTTAGCGTTGAAAAGCTCCTGTCGTATAAAGAAAAACTCTTCCCCCACTTATTTAGCTTTCTAGCTTGTTAAATTAATTTTATAATACTTTTACATTTAAATTACAAGTTAATATTAGAATACGGAAGAATGTAACATCTTTGAGGAGTCTGCCCGAGGCCACGAAACGAACGAACGTCAAGAAATATTTAGATAAATGGCAGCACTTTACTTTTATGTACAATTTTTGGTTAACGCTTTTGAGCTAAATAAAACTGAAATATTAGACAATTTTACTCACATGTTTAAAAATACGCCCTCGCAATTGATTTTCAATCACTTTTTTGTATGAAATCGCACTGCAATTTCATTAATTCCACAAATCTCTATTGTTTATCAGGAAATGCAGTGACAATCGACACGAACACGACACGACAAACGAAAATGACTGACGACGAAGGAGATTTGAGGGAATACCACTAAAACGAGATTATGTACATATCACGCCAGTTTATATTGCTAATTTCACAAACTCATGTTTTGGCAATAATAGAAATGTTGCACTTTAGACTATTTTAGTTTTAACAAAGTATGGCTTTTATGCAAATTATAAATATTGCTCTACTCGACGGTCATTGACGAACCAAATTTTTTATTACATCGCTCTTTGAGATTACACTGTGTATTATTCAAGGCTGAAAGCTATGCGGGAAAAAGAGATAGCTATATACAACCAATCCGTCACTGCAAATGACAGATACATCGACGCGTCGCCTTGTCAGCAATTCAGCATAATTAAAGGGTGCTTTCGACGAATAAAAATTTGGTCGGTAACGTAGCGCCTTGAAAATCCACAAGTTCAAGTTCATTTCTTTTTAACTACAAAGTATATTTTTACTATATATTGTAATAATAATAATTTTTATACGTGAATAGCAAGAAATTCGGTAAATTTTAAATCTAAGCACTTGTGTACAATTACTTAGCTTTTTAAATGATTTTCACTACTGTAACCCAAATGTAAACAAATGCACAGCTGTTTGAATTAAAAACAAACAAACGAAAAGTAAACATTCCCGATGCAGTATGGAATACCGAAACAACGATCCTGGTGCAGTGCAGTATGGAAACTTTATCAATTACTACAAATTCAACAATGCTGGACAACGTGTAAAATTGCTTCCACCTGATGTATGGCTTACAAGTGAAGATATTGAATCAAAGGAAACATACCTGGCCCTCGATGTGGGTTGCAATGCTGGAAACCTCACGCAACTATTGTACACCTTTTTAAATAAATGTTTAGGTGTGCCACGCAATCGCGAAACAAAAATACTCGGAATCGACATAGATGCAGATTTGGTGAAACGAGCAGAAGTTGGAAACGAGTACCCTCAAAATGTGAGTTATTCCAATCTGGACATTATGGATTCAGAAGGTTTTGAGCATGTAAAAAAGTACCTACGCCAGAATAATCGCAAAACTTTCGACGCAGTTTGTTGTTTTTCTGTAACAATGTGGATACATTTGAACCATGGCGACGAGGGTTTGCAACAGTTTCTGCAAAAACTTAGCGACATTTCCGAGTTACTCGTAGTAGAGCCACAACCATGGAAATGTTATCAAACAGCCGTCAGACGAATGAAACGCGCCGGAGATGAATTCCCCCTGTTCGCCGATCTGCAATGGCGCACAAACGTGGAGAATACTATACAAGATTTTTTAGAAAATAATTTGGGAAGAAAAAAGATTTTCGAATGTTTACCTACACGATGGCAACGGCGTATTTGCTTTTATAGATGAAATAAAATGCTTGTTACATTCATAATTCCAGGCATTTATTATAACTTTTATAATGTAAATGTGTAGACTTAATGTATGATTACTATATATGTAAATGGATAAGTATGTAGATGAATCATGGGATTAATGCACATTTCTAGCTATACAATTGAAGAGAATATCTGAGATTGATTCCATCAAACGACAAACTTGGTTTGAATTATAGACTAATTACTGGTTTAAGAAAAACCGTCCATTCATTCGTATGTATAAGGTGTATGGACTATTCTGTATTAATCTATGTAGTAAGTCTAATTTGTACGATCCCATCGCCAAATCGTACCATCATCGCAAACGCATATTAAAACATTACCATCCTTGGAGAATGAAGCTTGTCTTATAGCACTGGTACACTTAGGGTGGATTAAAGTGCTGTTTTTAGTTAAATTCGGATCTGAATTATCCAACTCCCATACATAGGTTTTTCCTTGTTGGTTCCCCAAAGCTAAAACTTTTTGCCAAAAGTTAAATGCAAAGCGTACAAACCATATTTCACATTCTTTATAATCGAAATGGTGTATAATAGTTGTAGTAGAATCTTGGGATTTTATATCAGTCTGTTCAAGTTTTCCTGGCTTCCAACATACAATCGAATTCTCACAAGACTTGGAGAGAACAAAGTCCCCGAACCATTGCACACAATCCACGTAATTTCGGTGAATGTCTCGTGTGGAGAAGTCGGGGAAATGCTCTTTGATTGTGGGAAACGGTGTAGCATTTTTGGTTGTATTAAATGAGCAACTATTTTCAATTGCGTCCTTTATTGCTGGCTTGTCCAAGCGCCACAATTTCAACGAATGATCCATACCACTGGACATGATGCGATCACCGCGCAAGTCGAAATCAAGTGAAAGCACTTCGTCACGATGTCCTTCTACGCCGCCAAATATTGCCACACACACATCCGTTTGTATATTCCAGAGACGCAGCGAGTGATCTTTACTGCCGGAAAGCAACATCTGTGGCAGTTTTGGGTGAAATTTCAACTCATTGATAGCATGACCATGGCCAATGTAATGTTTAGAGCAAAGATTTTTCGAAGGATTGAAGATGCGTATAACACCGCGATAACCAGCTGCAGCAAGTATGGGGTCGCCATTCTCAGGGTCGTAAGACCAAGCACAAGTGTAAAAGTTTTCGTCGGGCTATAGAAAGAAGAGCACATTTACTTCTGTTATTATAAAGTATGGAATGCTTACGTCTGGATCTGCATAACATTGCAACAACTTTATGCCAAACACTTCAATATCAGTGCTTTCGCTATCACGGGGACACTCATAAATTGAAATGCGGTCCTTTCCTACTGATGCGAAAATGGCTTGCTCCTTACTGAGATGGTGATTGAACTGTGCACCAAACAACGGCTGTCCGTGATCTTCACGAAGATGGCACCTGCAATAACCAAGAAATATACGTTTAAAGTACAACTCCGCGTATCAACAAAATGCAAAACCGCGTATGTGAGGTTGCATAAATTATTTTTTAGTGAGTAAAGACACTCATATTTCAAAATGGTTCTCTTTTTTATAAAGTAATCGTATTTTCGGCTATTATATTTAAGGACGAATGGATAAGGATTGAGCCAAGAGCTTGTCTGAGCAAACCCAATTTTTAGCAGCAAATGTCAGTTACGTGGTTTTGCAGAATGACCATACGCGGTTTTGTACTTTTAACGATGATATGTACATATCGTTACCTTAATATAGGAAGGCCCTATCTCACGAATAAAGTCGCTGAAATACAAACGGCCGTAACTAGGTAAAAATCCAAAATTCCATTTTGGGTTGATTATGCTGCATTTCATCCAATTATAAGTCCCCACATCATTTTAAGCAATAAAACTTTTTAATCAGTTTCGGCTTTTTTGCATGTCAGTGACTATATAAGTTAGGTCCTTTCTATATTAAGGTACCGAAATACAAATCCATATACATAAATACGTGTCGACTAAGTGAAAGTAACATTCGGTATACATACGTGTACTTGTACAATGGTTTAACTATTTTCTTTGCCTTTTTGCGAGATTGCAATGCCTTTCTATTACCAGGGGATTTACTACGTGATGTTGTTGTTGTAGCCGTGCTTCCAACACTTCCAGTCTCATCTTTATCTTCATCGGATTCTTCGCTTGCCCCTAGCGAATTTAAAGCGACATTTGATGGATTTTCTGCATCGGCTACAGGAGATGATATTGTTTGTGGTGGCACTGGTGGTGGTTCCCCAGTATTTGTTTCAATCGATACTTGAACTTCAGCATTTTCTTTCACATCTTCGGAACCCATTACTAAATTGTAAATTGTTAAAATTTATTTGTACTCTTGGATTTAAATACGCGTAAATCGGCGTCTAAATGTTGCGAAAACATACAAACACAAAAACTTTGCAAATAAATGACAGCTGCAATCCGGTTTTTTTGGGTGTGGGGTGCAGGACGCGAGATGCATTGCTGAGGTGTTGCCACTGACAAGGATGAAAACCAGTCATGTTTAGCATTTTAAATTAAGGAATAAGTACTGACTTGATTAAATATTTAATAGTTTTATTAAGAATACGTTTTAAACAATTTGATTATTGCATGAAGATATTCTAGTCAGACAACTTTTCTAACTCCATGTCTACATAGTTTTCAACCTCCTTGATCGCCTTTAAGCTATGCTCAGTTCGTGCTAAAAGTTCGTTGGCGAAGTAACCTCTTAGAATATTGGCTTTGTCTTGTGTAAGTCTGGCCTGAGCGTATACAAGTTCTAATTCGTTCGCCAAATATGGCCCCATTTTTAATTCAGCCGCAGCTTTGAGGAATGCGCATTTTCGATTGCGAACTTCTACTAGCTTTTGCACATTGGACCGTCGTTGAGATTCTAAAGCAATGATATGATTAGAACTAGATGATGCTGTGGGGTGGCACAGAGCAGTTGGTGGGGGTGTGCTGGGGTCTGCAAAAACATCAGGCACCTCCGCTTTTAATTTTCTTCCAAAATCAATAATTGGCTGAAGATTCAAACGCAGTAACGATATTATTTCTTCACGAATCGCCTTTCGTTCAGTATAACTCAAGTTAATGCAATCACGAAGTTCCTTTAAACCTATTGAAGTTAAATATAATTAATTATTCTTTTATAAATATGCTAATTTCTTGCCTAAAATAAACTCCTCTCCTCCACCAGCATTCAATTGTAAGTAATTGTTAATAGCAAGCACCTTGAGTGCCTGCTCTACTTGCTCTCCATTGTCTGGAAGATCTAACTTGTTTACTCTTATTTTCGGTAAGTTATCTAGCACCAAACGAAGTTTTCTTATTTTGCACAATTCGCAGTCCCGTTTTACTTCCATTTGCCTGCGCGCCTCCGCATTGAGAATGCTGAGTGTTTCATTAGCATCACCCATTTTCCCAAATATTTAGTTTGGATTTAGAAAGTCCTTTGAATTTTCGTATGAAATTCTTTGTTTTTTAGTTGACTGGATTAATTGACCCTGTTGTGCGAGTTTGAATTTTTTCTGTTTACCAGCATAGAGCGTAGATAAAGCAGTTCGAAAATTCAGCAATTTGATAGATTATTGCAAGGCGAATTTATATAAGGTGGTCTTACTGGCGAATCTCGATTTTCGCCGCGGTACTTCCTAATGTCAAAATGATGTGTTTGTTGTAAACAAGGCGAATTCATATTACAACAAACACATCATTTTGACATTAAGAAGTACCTCGGCGAAAATCTAAATTCGCCATCAAACCACCTTGTATAAATTCGCCTTGGGTTTTTGTTAATTCTGTTTTTCATTTGTAGACAATTTTTTGGGTACTGAAAAATGACCAAAGCGAAGGTAAGGATAATAATTTCAAATCAATTATGTATTTAAGCTATAGAAATAACACTTTTTATCTTTTTGGCAGCAAGAGGAAACAGCACGGAAAACTCACAAAAAGTCGAAAAAGCATTCCAAGTCTTCTAAAGAATCTGCTAACGAGGACGATTTTAAGAAACTTAGGAGTCTGAAACGTAAACAAACTGAGGTGGCACGTGTGTTGCAGATCAAATGTGCTTTGCTGCTTCAAGGAAATCTTTCTTATTTGGAATATATGGAACTGCGGGACGAGTTGTGTCGGTTGAATGCCCTTAAGGAGACGTTTGCAAAACAAGCTACTGGCTTCGAAAAGCGCTAGCTTTCAATCTATTAATTAATATTCTGTATATATATTTAACGTTTGAGACATTGTGATTTTAAAGATATTCCAGCACTAAATTTGCACCGGAACAGAAGAAATTATAATTTAATGAAGGTTAAAGATTACTTTTACCCCAGCACTCAGTAAGCGGTCTCTAGTAAGGGCTAGGGAGGCCCGAGCCCTTTTTTGAGTCCCGAAATCCCGGGATTAAGCCCTCGGGATCCCGGGATATAATTTAATTTACGACCGAATTAAAATAAAACGAAATTCAGACACTATTGGCATAAAAGAATTATAACATGCAACCAAGGCGAATTTATACATGGTGGTGTTGTAAAATCAGCTGATTTCTTCGCCTTACATGTATGTTGCTTTTAATTTTACTGATTTGACAGCACACCCATTAACGAATGACACAAGATCACGTAAGAACAAGAGAGTGAAAAAAGTCGATTTTTTTAACGGGTTCTACGCCATCTAGTTTCACTGGAAAACGAGCGAAAAGTAAACAAAGCAAAGAAAACGAAAACCAAAATTAGCCTAAATTATTGTCAGCCACTTTAAACGCATAATTTAGGTAAAATGATGCAACAAAATGCTTTAAAATGTGTTGTCATGTTGAATTAACTCTTCTTTACTTGAATAAAAGTGTAAAATAGTGGTGCTTGTGATGTAAACAAACGCTCAGCTGACGAACCCCGCTTTCGCAAACTTTTTTCTCAAAACCAGTTACAAAGTTACCAGTTACCAGTTACAGTTCAGCTATGTATAGCTGAAATACAATGCCGGCGAACGGCGAACTCACCACAGCGAAAAAAACAAATACGGCCACCTTTGGCACGCACAGCTGTCATCGCCCAGCAGAGCGATAGAAATAAATCTATCGCCATGAAACGCCGCCAAGAGAATTTCGCATTTCGCTTTGGCTGTGTTCAATTTCATATTGTGCGGGTGTTCTAATTTTGACAGCGCGAA